CCCTATGTTTTTGTCAAAGAATTTTATACTTTTAAGTCTTACATTTCATCCTAGATCCGTTTTGAGTTCATATTTGTAATGGTGTTAGGTAAGGGCCCGACTTCATTATGAAAAAAAATTTCATTATTTTTTTTTTACATGCAGGAGTTTTTTATTGGTCACTTATATGCCAGGCATGAACATCGGCCCAAAAAAGTCACCGTTTCCACTTAAAAGAGCCTGTTGTCTCTTCCCATAGTGTTTCTCCCCCAACTCTGCAGATCCACAATTACAGATGAAGTCAGCTTTACTTATTCTAGAGGCTCAGCTCCAGGAACAAGCTGGTATCCCTTAGTATCAGGCACTGCCAGTAAAACCCAGGGGGAACCAGGTCTTGAGACTCCAGTGTTCCATCACTGTCATGACGAGTCTTCACTCACCAGCAGTACCAACTTCAGTCACCCTGGACTCTCCATCTGGCACCGCAGTGGAACATTTCTGCTGGCCTCTGGAAATGTTTCAGTTTTAATAAGGGCCTCTGGCTATAGCTGAGAAATCACAGGTACAATAGCTGTCTTTTCCTGAAATGTTGCAGATCAGTTACAGTAAACAGAACAGCGACCATCAAGGAAAAATGTCACTCTGGGCTCCTTTTCAACCACAGTAGCTATGTGGAAGCAGCTGCAGCTTTGATAAGGGACAAAAGCATTTTATTTTTAAAAGCATATTGGCATGTGGTGCTAATTTTATATTTTTACTTCTCCATTGTATTAGATCAAACAAGTTGCCACTAAATGAAGGAATTACCCAGCACAATTCGTTGTCACATAATTCTTGGTGTAGTTACCAGTAACTGAAAAAGTGGATGGCTGTCCTGACCGGGCAACAAATCTCACAATTCACGTGGTTTCCAATTCTTTGTTTTCAACAAACTTGAAAGCTATCCTAACTGAACTGTCAGCTAACGATTGTTAGAAATCATTCTGATGATAGACCACTCCAGGATTACTTATTTCTGGCACGTGACTCGGTGGGAGTCACAGGGCTGAGCGTCTTCACACTTCCAGAGCCCTTCACTCCTCATTTACGTGAAAAGGCTTCTTGGTGCTGACATCACAACAATGAGAAACAGCAGAAGAACTGATGCTACCCTTGCTTCATTGAGCAGTAAACACTTTTAAACATTTTTCATTAAACTACAGATTTTTAAAATGTCTATTTTAGAAGGCTGATAATTATTTGTCAAATTTTATAACTTTGTTCCAATTATGATTTAATAATTGTAATGACAGTCTAGAAACTTTTTGCTGTAAAAATCTATTTTTATATATTGTACATTACTTGATTTATAAATGTGGTAAAATACACATAAAACTTACCGTCTTTGCCATTTCTTGAGTGTATAGTTTAGCAGTGTTGATTATTCACGTTGTGCATTCAATCCAGAACTCTTTCCACCTTTCAAAACTAAAACTCTATATTCATTAGAAGCAACTTAGAAATATTTTTAACAAAGAGAACCTTGGGAGAAAATGTTTAACTTCAACTTATCTATTTTTGTTGCAGAGAAGACCAATAGGGTAATCAAACTTAAATTATTAGGATAAAATACCTGGATTAAATTCTCTTGGGGCAGTGTACTAGAAACAAGGGATCAAAGAGAAAAAGGAGCCTTGTTGAACTTCTGATTGTTATAGAAGAGCTGGTTCATTCTATTTAAAAATGCATCATGGTAGTATCAAATTACTATGGCATTTAGATTTCGTTGACTATATTTAAAAGATCATATGATAAAATATTTATTTTTAAATGAAATATTTATAGCATACTGGAAATTATATCCTTTGCAACTATTTATTTTTATTATAAACAATTTAGATGCCAACTTAAAAGCATATTATTCTTTTCATAGTGGTAGTTTTCCATAATTCTTTACGGGGTATGTGACACGTGAAGACTACTGCATTAGGGTCAGGCATCCCTATGACCATGCCTGAACCAACATCAAAGCAGCACTAAGATGTTCAGTGTCTCACTGTGGATGTGTTTCCTGTGGCAGAGCTCATAACAATAGTGACCACTGAGCTTCACTCCTTCACCTGTTATCCCACAATCAGACCCACAAAACACCCCATGGGGAGCTGCCCTACTCTGGGAGGTCGTCTCTTGTCTCTGTCGCTGATTTTAGATGATGCTTCCTACTTCCTGAGGAAAGTTTTAGGAAAAACTTGCATTGTTGTGCCAAGTCACAGAACTGCATCACAAAGTCCATCCTTCCCTCCCAGCACCCTGGTTACAGATGTAACATTTCTCCTTAAAAGGCCCAAATCCACAGAGTAAAAGGCAACCTACAGAATGGGAGAAAGCATATGCAAATCACATATCTGATAAGGGATTTATAGCTAGACACATACGCATATGACAAGGGAAATAAGCCAGTTACAAAAAGACCACAATGTGTGTTTTCATTTACAGGAGGCACTTAGAGATGCCAGAATCACAGACGGAGAGCACAGTGGTGGTTTCCAGGGGCTTGGGGTTGGGAATAGGGAGGCATTGCTTAATGGGCAGCGTTTCAGGTTTACCAGAGAAAGAGTTAAGGCAGGTGGATGGTGGTGATGGCTGCACAGCAACATGGAAGTACTTAATGCGCCTGACCTGTACCCTTAAGACTGCTTAAGATGGTAAATGTTATGTACATTTGGGACAATAAAAATTTTGGAAAATGCTCTTATCATATCACATTTCACACCTCCATCCAACTTTGGAGTTCATCCAACACATGAAGCATATTCAACAGATAGCTGGGCTGACAAAGCCGCCTCTTTATGAAGCACAAATGGAACTTGCATTGTCAGCGAAAAGTCAGAATTCATTTTCACTTCAAATTCACGTGTATTTTGAGGAAACTTATTAAAAGAACTAAGAAACAAATTAAGATGCATCTTAGATTAATTACCAAATGCAGTTAGGACCAAAACATTGCAGAACTAAGTTATTTAACGCGTGCTGTTTCTCATTACTTAAAATGCAGGATGTGGCATAAGTCTAGTTTGAGGCGTCCAGTGTCCCTTGGGTCAAAGTGTGTCATGTTCAGTTGAGGGGAATATTCATCTAAGAATTATGTTAAAAAGCCAAAAATACTCTTACTAGTTTCCTAAGGCATAGTTAAACTTTTTATGTATTTAGTGAAAAGCCGTATAGTGACAAAAACTAAGTGCTCTGGACGTTAGCCTGTGTCAGACACGAGATGGGAAAGATGAAGGCTGACTGCTATTGAATAAACACTGGTGATGTGATTGGATAACTGATCATGGAAAAAAAGCCGCATTAAACTTACGTTGTCGGTTTGATCTTTTGTGTCTTGGGAAGTTCTCTATCCCCAGGATGTAACCCCTGTGTGTAAGAGAGATGCTGCGGTGCTCACCGTGAGCTGCCGGGGGTGGTTCTTGGAGTAAGTACTGGGAAGGGCTTCTGACTAATGCTTGTCTCTGAGTAACAGGGACTGGGACCCTGCCTCGAGGGGAGGCACCTCTGACAACAGCAGGGGAGGAGGAGTGGCCCCCTGGGCCCCAGCACGTGCGAGGCAGGTTTCAGGAGTTTTGATTAGTCACTAAAGATGGCTATTCCCAAACAAGTCCATTGGATTGTCCCACTGCTATGTGTCTTGGTTTTCTATTCCTGGGGCCATGCAAGGTGGCGAGGAGTTTGATTCCTCTTGCTTTTTAGAAGGGAAATGGGATCTGAGGCACTGGTTCTCAGAGGTCTGTATAAGTTGAGGTCTGGAGACTGACCGATTCCCTTAAAATAAGTGGTTTTTTTGTGTTTGGTCCCCAGATCAGCAGCATTAGCTTCTCCAGGGAACAAGTTAAAGATACAGATTCTTGGCTGCATTCTGGATTAGCCATCTGGAATTTAGGGCCCCTCCAGGTGATTCTGACACCCTTGTATGGTTTAAGTTGAATTGCCCTTGGCTGGTTGACATGACGTCCAGGTGATGTAACTACTAAGCTTTGCGTAAACATTAGATGTTTCACGTTTGTGTGTTCTAGAACCAGTATTACTAGTTTTCAGTATATAGAAGAGCAGAGTGTGTCCTGCCTGACGATAAAGGTCGCTAGTGCCAAGTGCAGAACAACAGCATGTCCTAAGCCAGAGCCCTCGGGCCAAACACGCAGCGGTGGTGTCCTTAGGCTGCTGGACAGTTGAGCCTGGTGTGAGGTCCTCTCCGGGCAGGTCCTCTGGAGGTCTGCAGGCAGCTCTGCGGGCATGTGAGCCAGGGCCAGGGGCCACCGAGGGAGAGGTGGGCCCTGCCTGTTCTCCAGAGCAGGAGAGTGAATAGTGTCTGTTTTGAAAAGAGACCTGCTCTGCTTTGTGGCCCATCCAGAGCCCGTGCTCCCATCTCCCTGAACTTTGTGAAGCATCCTTGTCACCAAGTTCTTTCCTTCTTTTAGTTTTGCTTCTACTTCCTAATCTTTCGAAGTGCAGCCATCGATCTTCTTTAAATGCAAATCATACCAAGTCATTTCCTTCCTTAAAAGTAAAATTGCCACAGGACGTTCCCAGTCCTTCCCAGTCACAAGAACTTTGCCCTCAGGAGAGAGTCCAGAAGGCGCAGCTGGCCCTGGCTTCCCCAGCACCTCTGAGTACCTGACGCCGCCCGGGTGTTGTGCAGAGGCTGCTCCCCGGCCCGGATATCCGCCCCAGTCCCCAGACGAGGTGAGGGCCATCACACACTCCTGCTTCATCCCATCTGATACGTCCCATTAATTTTGACTTTGCTTTTTCCCCCAGAACCTGGGCTCCAGCCCCTCTCCTGTCCTCGGGACGTGGGTCCATGCTGAGTGAGTTGTTCCCTCGTGTGCTCATTGCAGGGTCCCTGAGGATAGGGACGCTGTTTGCTGCTGTGTCCCAGGCCTCCGGAGGCTCAGCAAACACGTCTTTGTTATGCAAACAAGCCATGCCTTATTTCTAGCGCCCTTTCCCTGCTGTTCATGTACCCCCTGTCTGTTGCATTGCAGTTTGGAGCTGAGTTCCGAAGGTTCTCCTTGGACCGTCAAAAGCCCGGGAAGTTTGAAGACTTCTACAAGCTGGTTGTGCACACGCACCACATCTCCAACACCGAGGTGGCCATCGGCTATGCGGACGTGCACGGTGACCTGCTGCCCATCAACAATGATGACAACTTCTGCAAGGCCGTGTCCAGCGCCAGCCCCCTGCTCAGGGTCTTCATCCAGAGACGAGGTACCCGGGGGCCGAGCCCCCTGCTCAGGGTCTTCATCCAGAGACGAGGTACCCGGGGGCTGAGCCCCCTGCTCAGGGTCTTCATCCAGAGACGAGGTACCCGGGGGCCGAGCCCCCTGCTCAGGGTCTTCATCCAGAGACGAGGTACCATTGGCCAAGCTGCTGCTTCTGCTCAGCAGAAGCACTTCAAAAACAAGCACAGTTTTCAGAACCACGCAGTTGTTTTCTAGCCGGTAGCGGGAGAGTAAAGAAATTAACATTCATTTGGTCAACGCTAATTTCTTAGAAAGTCTTAACAATGTTTAAACTACACTTTCCACCTTAAATAGTTTGACTTAATGAGTTTTAAATACTGAGGAAAAACTAATACCAATATTTTCAGTATTTTAACTGGAAACGTTAGCCAGTAACCCAAGAATGAAATTCAAGTTTGTTAGTGTATGTTTTCCACTGTCTTTTTAGGATTGGAAAAAAATGTTAGCTTTAGATTATAAGTGTGGTTAACTTTCAGCTCTGAAGGCCTAGCTTTGCTGTGAGTAACACAATACCATTTCACGTGAAAACATGTTACCAACACAGGTTAGTGGCTGGAAGGGGGGGCGCCCTGCTGTGGAGCCTGCGTGTCAGCTTTGTTTTCTGTCTCTAAGCTTAGGAGAACCTTAGCAATTCTAAAACATACTGAAGAAAAGAACCACTTGCAGGTGAGGCTTGGCATTTGGAAAAGGCATTTTGTGATTGATGTGGCCCTGACTGTCCCCCTCCCGGAGTGAACCTCTGTGCCCACAGTGGCACCGACCACCTTGGGGAGCAGGCTGGCGGGGGGACACTTGCAAAGCTGCAGCACACGTACCACTGCCGTGCACCTTCATCGTGTGGGGCAGAGGGAGGTCAGCCTTGGTCTCTCGGGGAGTGGGCAGCTTCACAGAGACTGGAAGTGGCAGCGTGCTGGATAGAGGCCCCCAGATGTGAGAGCCCCAAGCCAGGCTTGGTAAGTGTGAGGAGGCAGGAGGCGGGGCATGGGGCCAGGTGCCTGGTTCTTGCGCCTTTCCCAGCCCTCCTTTGCGTGATGGTGTTCCCAAGGCACCCACCCGTCAGGTTGTCCTGAGGTGGGGAGGCTGCGGACACTGAGTGCTCGGCGGCCAGTGCTGTGAGCTGGCTGTTCCTGTCCTCTTGTTCGTGGTGATGGAGGGGGCTGCGTGGGGAGGGCACAGCAGGGACCCACTGACCTCCCTTCAGAGCAGTTCTCTGGCAGTAGATCAGAGAGCTTGCATCTGCAGCCCTCGCTGAGCCTGGTGTCCTGCTGGTGGTACTGAAATGTCAACACAGCTGTCACTTCCTCACAGTGGCCTGGGGGAGCTGGCTTTCACTTTCCTGTTGAGTGGCCGGGGCATCGGGACCCTCCTCAGCCCCTGCGCAGCCCCTGGCTCTGCCTCCCTGGTCTGCTGCCCTTCCCTCTGCTGTGGCCACACCTGCTGTCCTCGCTTGGAACGCATGCCCCTCACATTGTCCAGGTGCTCTTCACGTACTGCCCTCAGGAAGGCCTCCCTGGTGCACGTCCCCTTTGCCCATTCTCTAGCCCCTTTACTCTGCTCCCCTGGGCTGCTCTCAGGGCTGGTTTGTGGTCCAGAGCCCACAGCTCTGCCCTGGCCATCCCAGGTTGTGGTGTTTCCTCACAAGGTGCGGGAGCATGAGCCAGGCTGTGCAGCCCTGTGTGAGAGACAGGTGTGCACACAGGCTTCATCACTTGTCACCTGTCGTGCAGGAAGCCGGGCTCTGTTCCATGGTGGAGCTGGAGCTGAAGGCACTGAAGCTGGCACTCTTTGTCCTTTAAGAGGCCAGCCCTAGTGACACTTGGCCTCCTGTGCTGTCGGTTCACTGAAGCCCAGGTGAGACAGGCTAGCTTCCCCCAGCACTCAGTGGCTCCCAGGCTCAGCTTGCTGGCTCGGGCCCTGTATCATGTCTTCTTTACTTAGTTTTCTTCTTTCCCTTGGCCTCAGAGAAATAGCTCAGAGTTTAACTAGCTAGCTGAGGATGTCTAACCCTCTTGTGTTTTAAGTGTGAGCGTGTCACCTCCAGCCCCTGCCTTTCTCTGTTACATGGCAGCAAAGAGCTGATTTCAGATGCTGCCCTCAGCAGTTTCCTTCTGGCTCTGTGACTGACTGAACCCCACTCTTGTCATCTGTAGAATGGGAGAGCCTACCTCAGGCTGTTGTCAGGCTTAGAGAGGAAAATGTTCCCAGCACTCACAGAGCCCATCACTGGGAAACTGGGGCTCTTGCCTCACTGTCCGCAATGGACTGTGGCTGTGAAGGCTGCATCAGAGGGAGAAGCAGGCACAGTGGTGTTTCCATGAAGCCGTCCTGATGCCCTCCGTGCTCAGGACAGACTTGCTGACTGCATGGACAGGGGTGCCATCCTGGGCGGGGCCGAGCTGAGGTGCCCCCAGGAGTGACACTGAAGTCCCATGTCCTTGTCCTACAACATAGATTCGGAGCTGTTGGTCACGTAATGCCATTTTCATGACTCTCCATAGCCACACCCACCCTGTCATTTCTTTAATGATTTCCTGTGCTTGGATGTATATTGTAAGAGGAGACTGTCACTATCAGATGGAAACTCATTCTTCCCATAGATGTTGAGAGAAACCCACAGTGATGTTTAGGAAAATGATTTTGTTTGCCACTTACTATTCTCCTCCCCCAAAACCACACATAGATGTCACAGTGAAACTACAGACCAACATCTCTGATGAGTACAGATGTAGAAACCCCTCACCGACACACTAGGGTATGGAAAACATGCTTCCACGGCAGAAAGTAGATGCAACACGCTGTGTCCATTAGGAGGAATGAGGTACTGAAGGAACCAGGCTGCAGGACGGGCGAACCTGGGGAGGGAGCCAGTTGGAAGAGGCCACTCAGCTGACCTCACTGTGAGCGACTCTGCATTTGCGCGCTCACTGCAGTTCACCGGTCACCCCGGTCAGGGCCCAGAGCCCCCTCACCTCCACCAAGACCTGCTCAGGTCGGGCTGGCTGAGGCGGGGAAGGTGAGCTTGGCCTGCCAGTGTGGGCTCGCACGGTGAGCGGGGCGCTCTTCACCATCGCTTGGTGCCGCTCGCCCACATCCTTGCGCTTTTTTAAAAGAACTATTAAAATACATTAGGCAGAATTTACCATCATAAACAGTTTGAAGTGCACAGGTCAGCGGCATTAGGTACGTTCCCGTTGTGCAGCCGTCACCGCCATCCATTCCCATAACTCTTTTCGTCTTGTAAGACTGAATCACTCTACCTTTTAAACCCCATTCCTCATTTCCTCTCCGCCAGCCCCCAGGAGCCGCCATCCGACCTTCTGTCTCTGTGGCTTTGACAGCTCTAAGTGCCACATGTAATAATTCTCTCGCTTTGCTGCTGAAGTCTGTATCCTAGTATTTTGTTGAATGTTTTGCATCAGTGCTCATAAGGAGTTTTGGCCTGTGATTCTCTTGCCTTGTAGTGTCTTTGTCTGGCTTTGGTATCAGGGTTATGCTGCTCTCCTGGAAGAAGGTGGGAAGAGTTCCCTCTTCAGTTTGGGGGAACGTTTGAGAAGGATTGGTATTAGCTCTTTACATATCTGGTATAATTTACGAGCGAAGTCATCAGGACCAGGGCTTTTCTTTGTTGGGAGATTTTAAGATTTTCTTTTGCTTCTTATTTAGTCTCGGTAGGTTTTGTGTTTCTAAGAATTTGTCCACTTCCGCTCCAGAATATCTGTTCGGTTTCTTTTTAGATTTTCTGTATCTTTATTGATATTTCCATTTTGCTTATACTTCATTTTCTTGACTTTCTCCACGTCTTCTAAAATTCTTTGAGCATTTTTAGGACTTTCTTTTTAAGTCTTTGTCTAATATATCTGCCATTAAGTCTTTTTCAGGGACAGATTCTTTTGAATCATTTTTTCCTTTTAATGGGCCATACCCGTCTGTTTCTTTGTATGCTTTGTGATTTTTTGTTGTTGTTGTTGAACACTGGACATTTGGAACTAATAACTTGGCAACTCTGAAAACCAGATTCTACCCCTTCCCCAGGGTTTGCTGTTATTGGTTATTTTTAAAAATTATTGTAGACTGTCTGTCAAGTATCAGCAAGAGGTGTAAAATTAATGACTTCTCGGGTCTCTTCTGACACTTTCCTGGGCATGTGCAGTCACTTTCTCATTTTTCCTTTATATGCAGTTCTTCAATGTCCTAGTCTTTAATGTCTGATTCATGAAAGGGGAAAAGAAGGGGGAAGAGGGTATAGAAAGGCACTTCCGCTTGTTGGGGAGGGGTCGGAGCAGTGGGGGAGGTGTAGCAGCTGGTGGGCACCTGCCCCTTTGGCTGCACCTCTGTGGTCAGAAGCCACCATGAGCGTCAGAGCACAGACCCCTGATGTTTGGAGGACAGGGTCCTTTCTGCCCCCTGGTTCCTGCAGGCTGCTCCAGACCCACATGCACAGCCTCCTGCTGTGCGGCTGGGGTGGGCGGGTAGGTGTCCTTGTGCTGAGACCCGACATGGACCAAAGTCGACTGTTCTTCCCCTGGAACCTGCAAGCCTGCAGGCGGCCCCAGAGTTAGTTACAGCACAGATCCTGTCTGTGCAGTTGTTGCCTGGGTGGGGAGACGTCCCAGGGGCTGCCTGCTCTGCTGTCGTCCCTCTGTGTGCATGCATGCATATGCATGTATAATTTCACTTTCTAAAATTACCCCCAAGCATAGTGCCAACTGCTTCAGAGTTTCCCTAAGTGCAAGATGGATGTGATGTGCTTTACTTAGGAAATGCTCTTGGCCATGAGTTCAGTGTTAATGCATCAGTAATTTCTACGAAGTGAGGTGTCCTAATCAGAAACACATTAACACAAGTTTATGTATTGATTGGTGGATGAAAATGTTGTGATCAGAGGCTCACCCCTAATCGTATATTTCCTGGCAGCCATGGTTCAGTTTTCAATAATTCAGTGTCCATGGAGACTTTATAAAACAT